GCATTCCAATCACCAGTAATTATCAACACATCTTGATTGCATTTTTGGTCAATTTCAGACTGCAGAAGTTGGTAAAAATCTTCAGTTTCTTCATCTTTGGCCTTAGTGGTTGGTGCATAAGTTTGAATAATAGTCGTATTAACTGGTCTTCCTTGTAGGTGTATGGATATTATCCTATCACTGAGAGAGTTGTACTTTGGAATAGATCTTGAAATGTTCTTTTTGACGATGAATGCTACGCCATTGCTCTTCAATTTGTCTTTGCCAGCATAGAAGACCATATGATTATCCAATTCAAAATGGTCACTGATGCCTAGAATATTGATGTTTATACATTCCATTTCATTTTTCATGATTTCCAATTTTCCTAGAGTCATACTTTGTACATTCCACATTCTGATTATTAATGGATGTTTGCAGCTGTTTCTTCTCATTTTGAGTGGTGCCACACCAACAAATGAACGTCTGGAAAGCTTGACTCTGTCCACGTCATTAAGGTCGACTCTGAGGTGGCAGCTCTTCTCCAGCTGTCTTCTAAGTGCCTTTCAACCTGAGGGGCTCATCTTCTGGCACTGTATCAGACAATGTTCCACTGCTATTCATAAGGTTTTCACTGGCTAATTCTTTTCAGAATTAGACTGCTGAGTCCTTCTTCCTAGTCTGTCTTAGTCTGGAAGCTCAGCTGAAATCTGTCCACCATGGGTGACCCTGCTGGTATCTGAATATTGGTGGCATAGTTTCCAGCATCACAGCAACATGCAAGCCCCCACAGTATGACAAACTGACAGACATGTGGGGGATCTAAGTGACACATTATGTTAAGTGAAAGAAACATGACACAAAATATTAACTATTGTATGATTTCATGTATAAGAAATTTCCAGAAAAGGCAAATTTATAGAGACAGAAAGCAGATCCATGGTTGCCGGTAGCTGGGGATAACAGCAAGCATAATCTGTCAACAGCATGAGGGAACTTTTTGAGGTAATGGAGATGTTCTCAAACTGTTTTCTGATGGCTGCACAATCCTATTCATGTCGTAAAATCACTGAATTGTACATGGATGAATTTTATGAATGTAAATTTTACCTCAGTAAATCTATTTTTAAAAACTCACAAAAATCAATATATGATAATGAGTAAAAGAAAAGAAAAAAAAAAACAGTGAATATAACTCAGACTACAATGAAATGCTTTGGTTTTGGGTGTAGACTAAGACCCCAGGACATCAAGAAAGGGGATAAAACAGAGTAGAAGTCATCCGAAAAAGCTGCATAGGCCTAAACTGAGTCTTAAAAGATGGGTAAGATTTGAACTCATAAAAGAAGGAAAGAAAGACCCTTGTAGACAAAGAAAATAGCACAAGAAAAGGCAAGATGAAGGTACGTGTGTGTTGGGGGTGGTTGAGGGGAGGGGCAGTGAAGGCAGCTGGATTTGTGAGGGAGTAATGAGGAATGTACAGATTGGTACAACAGGATCAGGTTATCAAAAGCAAGATAATGGGGCAAAAAAGGGAGGGACTACAAGGGGACCAGAAAAAGAGTTATTTCATTCTTTGCATCCATAAGAACCTAGGAGGCCAAGGTTTGCGTTGTTGGAAAGGATGAACCTAGTATATGCAAATGCCTGTGGAAAAAAACTGTACTCTTTACAAGTAGCAGAAAAAATTCAGTGACTTCATAGGTGTACAGAATAAACAATCAACTCGTGGCTTGTTGTTTCAAATCAAACTGCAAGACATCATGAATTACCATGAGAATAAAAGATGTACTGGCTACATTTCTAAATAATTAATTTTATTGTTGTTTCCTTTCAAAAAACAAGACAAACTAACGAATGTCACATTTTTAATGAATTTACTGCCTCGAGCATAACATTAAACTTTATTTTTTTTAACAAAAATCTTCTAAAAACCTGTTCACATTTCACTAAATCATATACAGCTTTGATTAGAAAAAAGGGCAGATTCTTCTCAGTCCAGCTAAATTGCTAAGATCGCTGAAGCACAAGTCAACTCTGAGCCACCCAACTTTTCAATTTTGTACAATTACTTTCCTGGCAATTAAGGGCAAGCTGAGACAAAATTATTATGTGTACAGGGCTCAATTCCTTAAGTCCCCACTCCACTGTATTATTCAACACTGTCTAATGCCATAACCAAAGTTAGTCCCAGGATACAAATGTATGCAAAATAACACTGAGTCAAGTAACATTCTTTCTCCCATAATCTTTGGTTTTACACTCTTATCACAAAAATCCTCACAAATGGACCAAAAAGCAACATCACGATAAACAAAATATTTAAGTTGTCAGGGATTTCATTTTACTAGGATCCACAATTAACCTCCATGGAAGCAGCAGTCAAGAAATCAAATGACGTATTGCATTGGGCAATTCTGCTGCAAAAGATCTCTTTAAAGTGTTAAAAAGTTAAAGATGTCACTTTGAGGACTAAGGTGCGCCTGACACAAGCCATGGTATTTTCAATCACCTCATATGCATGTGAAAGCTGGACAGTGAATAAGGAAGACTGAAGAAGAATTGACACCTTTGAATTATGGTGTTGGTGAAGAATATTGAATATACCATGGACTGCCAAAAAAATGAAGAAATGGACTGCCAAAAGAAAGAACAACCTGTCTTAGAAGAAGTACAGCCAGAATGCTCCTTAGAAATGAGGATGGCAAGACTTTGTCTCAGGCACTTTGGATATGTTATCAGCAGGGACCAGCTCATGGAGAAGGACGTCATGCTTGGTAAAGTAGAGGGTCAGCAAAAAAGAGGAAAACCCTTAACAGGATGGATTGACACAGTGGCAGCAACAATGAGCTCAAATACAGCAACAATTTTGAGGATGGTGCAGGACCTGGCAGTGTTTTGTTCTGTTGTATCCGACTAGATGGCACCTAACAACAACAACTGCAGTGCATATCGTCTACCAGAGAATCATTCAACTAAGCCTCGTTCATTTTTCATTTGTATGAACCATGTTTTCCGGCAGTCATATAGACATAATATTGGCATTTAGTTGAATAAACATGATCTAAGACCCAGGAAAATTTTCATTACGTTAATTCCAATTTTAGGCCATAGCTAATTTCAGCAATTTTTCTAAATTAATAGTTGAAAACTGTACTTTGGAAAAATAAGTATATGTATCTATGCCACTGTCATTAGGGGTTTCCCACCCCTCATATGATGAAAATGTAGAAAACCCCGCTACTAGGAATAGCTAACCAGGGCCCAGAGAATACTGAGCAGGGGTCCTGTGCCCAATCAGGGGAGGGAGTCTGCTTTTGTCTCTGCGCAGAGTTGGATGAATGAAGTTGGGAAGCCACTCTACCTCTGGACTCCTCTTGGTTTCCTCATCTATACAATGGGAAGAACAAACTCTGAAATGCTATGACAAGATGAATCAAACTAAATTACATTTCAGCTAATGTACAAAACGGGGGGAATAGCTTCTAGTATTATCAAGCATCATATTATACATTACAAAGAGCCCTGGTGATACAGTGGTTAAGAGCTCAGCTGCTAACTGAAAGGTTGGCAGTTTTCCTACCAGGTGCTCGGAAGGAGAAAGATGTCGCAATCTGCTTCCATAAAGATTTACAGCCTTAGAAATCTTATGTGGGCAGTTCTACTCTGTCCTATAGGGTCGCTGTAAGTCGGAATCGACTCAATGGCACACAACAACAACAATGTTATATATTACTTTGAATTAAGACTAACATTCAACAAAAAAACGCTAAAAACACTAAACAGACAATAGATAAGTGGTAACTTTGGTGAAGAGCAAGACAGTACACAATACTGGGGTAGCCAGAACAACTTGTCCAAGGCAAAAAATACGTAAATAAATAAAACTAACATTCAAGCATTTACTCTTTTTTATGTTGGAAAGTTTTAAATACGTAATCACTAAATATGTAGTTCGCGTATTTCCCTTTAAGTACTTGATTTAAAAAAAAAGATCACTGTTTTTGCACAGTGCTTAGTACTTGACTGTTAACAGAAAGGTTAGAAGTTTGAGTCCATCCAGAGATGCTTGAGAAGAAAGGCATGGCGATCTACTTCCAAAAAATCAGCAATTGGAAACCTTATGGAACAAAGTTCTACTCTGACACACATGGGGTAATCATGAGTTGGAATCGATTCCACGGCAACTGGTGATGGTAGAGGTGGTTTTTGTTTGGTTAGGGACATGAGAAAGGCCGAAAGTAACAATTCCATGCTTGTTTCCCCACTCTTCGCTTATCCCGTACATATATCTCAAGATTACCCAAATATAACTATTTTCTTTCAATTAGTAAAAATAGTATTACTTTCTCAATAGAGCTTCTTCAGCAAGGAAGTAGCAACTATAATCCTGTAACACCTCTTCTTTTTAACTGCTGCTCCACAGAACTGAATATTGGAGGCAAACATTGCAGTACAAATGTGAAAATCTACATTGGATATAAAATTATCTTATGCTCACAGACGTGGATTTATGACCAAATGAAAGCAGAAACGTACTAAAAAGACATTTAGCCAAAGTCTGCACCAAGTTATTTAGGTGTGATTCACCATAAAGTTTATTGGATTTGTGATTTTATCTCAACGTACCTCTAAAGAACAAATTGCCAATCTGGTATTTTTCTCTTAGAATAATGTATGACATAATTCACTATGGCAAGTCAAATAGTTAACTTGTAATTCGGGGGACAGCTTATTCACACAATATTTTAATGATCATATATCTCTATCCCAAAATTAATCTGTTACTGGGTTAAATCACTCCAATTTCTTTTTTCCACATATACAAGAGTAATAGCTGCTTCAGTTTCAATCATGGAGCAGTAAATCTAGATTTACACAGCTGGTTTATCAGTCTCTGGGTACGCATAATTTCATAGAGTGATTGAAGTCATTTTGATATTTGATATTATATCAACAACAGCTTATCTATACCATCAACTCCAAACAATTAAAAACATTATTCCACATTTTATGTGTACCTTTTTCAAGTAGTTTGCCTTTGTAGACACAAAGGTTTTCCCCACCACAGTGCTGTTGATAGACTTTTATTTCATCCCGGAAGTCTGAGTCATCATAAGAGAGGTGCACACTTTTTCCCAAATAGATCATTGTAATAGCTGCATTGCTATGCAGTGATGTTTTATGAATTCTTCTTGAATCCTAGAATAAACAAAAAGGTGGGCTTGTTAACTACTTGCCTTCTAATCAGAGTTCTTATTCACACATGACATTGTAATACAAAAATAAAAAAGACTATTTTTATTTACCTAGCCACAAAGCCTTTACATAATGTTATCTACACAGCGCACAAAAAGTCAAGCCTATTACAAAATAAATTCCTCAAAACAACGATAACATATTCATTTTGGCTTTATACTCCCACCAAAAACATTAGGGCTTCGGCCAAAGTTTGTCACTTTTCATTTTAATTGTGTGTGTGGTTTACATACAGCAAAAATGTCAGTGAATTTAAGATAAAACTGCTCTTGTCTTTCTTTTACCTGGTTCTCATGTAACAATTCAAATCAAATGAATTAAGTAAATATTGTTGACATAATTTGGTTCTAATTTGAATAGACATTGATTATGATTTAACAATAGCTTTGTAATTGAGTTCTTTATCTTTAAAATTGAGTATTGGCAATGTATCTCTCCCTGAGCTTATTCAATGTGAGATGGGAACGTAAACATTTGATTCCTCTAGAGTCACTGTGAGGATTAGGGATAACTAGGTTCTATGTCTAGGACTATTTGCTCTCACAGGAAGCATTCAGTTAAATGAAAAACTAGCATTATTAATATTTTTTTTATATAGCAAAACAATATAACCAACAAAGTTTTTTCAATCACCTCATAAACCTATATGATGCACTATGGCATTGCTCAATATAAATTATTTATAAAATATGCAATAAACTTATGTGCCAGAGATTAAAAGAAATGTCCTATTCATTGCCTCCTAGTTTATTTATTTTTATGTGTTTTCATAATAGTGCATGAGCATAGTGTCCTCCTAACTTCCAAGTGGGGATGAGAAAGGAGAAGCAGAAAAAGGAAAAGAAGGAAAAAGAGGCAGAGAAAGAGGAATGGCTGGGAAAGTTGAGACTTTAAGTCTACTTTGTAAGAATATAATAAAAACCAAAAAAACCAAACTCATTGCTGTCGAGTCAATTCCGACTCATAGCGACCCAACAGGACAGAGCAGAACTGCCCTATAGGGTTTCCAAGGCTGTAAATATTTACAGAAGCAGACTGCCACATTTTTCTCCCGCGGAGTGACTGGTAGGTTTGAATCACCAGCCTTTCGGTTAGCAGCCAAGCACTTTATAGAATATCATAAGCCACTAGAATTGTGTATGGGAGAGGTATTATCTTTAACAAACTTTGCTTTTCTAAAAATCAATTTTTAGCTAGATGAAAAATGTGGAGAGGCCAACTTCTGTTGATCCAAGGAAATCATTTGAATTTGATGTTCACTGAATTACGGATACATTGGAAGCATGCCGTTTTCAAAAAGAATAACGAAGACTCAACAAAAATTTCTAAAGGAGCAACTAAAATATTTTCATCTCCAAACCCATCTCCTTTCACCTCAGAGAATTATTTTTCATTCAATTCTATTTCTCTGAAGCAAAAACCTGAGGAAATAAATATGATGAAATGAAATTCTGCAAATAACAGTGTAACAAATGTAAAACGGGGAAAAAGTCCAAGGTTTAAAATTCAAGCAAATTGTCCTGTCTGCAGATTTAGCTTCCAAATAGAGAGATGATCGACAGAAATAATTTCAGGGACATTAAGAGTCGAAAAGGTAAATCAGCAAACTGGATAATTCTTTGCAGATTAGAAACATCTCTTTGAATCGCAAAAAGCTAATGATGGTGGCAGGCCTGGCTCCTAGTTGCAAAATCGTAACCCCGTGTTTTCTCTTGCCTGGGCAACTGTGGAGCTGTGGCATGCATGTGTGCAGTCCAATAAGCAAGAGCAGACCTGAAGCAAATCCAGCCGCAAGCTCCGGCTAGAACATTTAATGATGTGACTGATTAAATAAAAGCATTCGCTTTTTGTTAAGCAACACTTTCTAAAGCGGCATGGATTTAGAGGTAGTCCTGCGGGCTTCTGGGAGATAAGCACTAAGTAAATAGAAGGTAATAGTGGGATTACAGTGAGGGAAAGTCCTGCCTCACATGTACAAAAGGAGAAACTGGAGACAGAAACTTTTAAAAAATAAAATAAAGGAAATGGCAGCCCTTTACACTGTTCATATCCGCTTATTCACATTTTTTTTCCTGCTAAAGCATATTTCTGATCTCAACATCTCTTTTCTCCTGTGTCTAGTTACTTCATCCTCTTTTTTAAAACACTTCCCAATTATTGCCACCAGGTAACCTTCTCTGGGCTCTAACAGGATGCCCGAGTGACAGCTCGTGATTAAATACACGCACCAGGAAATGAACAATTGTTTCTTTCAGTTGACTAAATTGCCTCTATACTTACCGTCTTCCAAGGTTATAACGACCTCAGACTGATGGAACTTTAACAAGGTTTCACCGCCCTAGCAAGTATCAAAATCTGCAATGAAAATTCAGTTCTGTTTCAAGAACAGGCCGAGTCCTCACACCCCTGCACAACTAAGGGTGATCTTTCTTAACGCACTTCGCTGGTTGTTGCTGACTTTCTTTCTCATTTCTTTTCAGTTTCTCAGGCGAATGCAATCAGGGCTGACAAATAAGCAGCAAGCCCACTGAGTGGTTAACCAGTCGGTCATTATATACTTGCAATATTTAGCATTCAATCGAGGCCTACTAAGTTTTTACTGGGACCTCTTTAACCCCGCGCAGAAGGGTGGATTTAAGGAATTGTATTGGTGTTGAGGAAACCCTGGTGGCATAATGGTTAAGTGCTACAGCTGCTAACCAAAAGTTTGGCAGTTCGAATCCATCAGCCACTCCTTGGAAATTCTATGGGGCAGTTCTACTTTGTACCATAGGGTTGGAATCGACTGGATGGCAACAGATTTGTTTTTTTTTTTTTTTTCTTTTTTTTTGGTTTTGATGTTAAAAATGACTTTCTTGCTGATAATGTTGGGCTCTATCCATTCAAGGCCTGATAATCTCTAGACATTATAAAGTCTAACTGGACCACCGCAATAGACTCCTAATTAGTAGGCTGACCATAGAATTTATCATCCAAACTGGGACATATAGAGAATGAAAGGGGTGTTATTAAGAATTATGCTGGTGGTGGAGGCATGAAAGGGGAATGTTCCTGGGAAACTGGGATGCATGGTCTCCCTACTAATTGGTCTCCCAATCTCCAGTCTGATCTCCCTTAAAATTCCCCACCTCCTGGATATCAGAGTGATCTATTGTCATTAAATATTGTGATTGATCTGCCTAAAATCCCCCAATGATTTCCAATAGTCATGGGATAAGGTCCAATGTTCCTGATACAACATGAAGATTCTTTATCTAACCCCTACTATCTCCCAACCATTGCAGTTTCCTATGTTATGTTGAAGGAGCCCTGATGGCACAACAGATTAGAGCTTGGCTGCTGGCTGCTAACTAAAAGGTTGGTAGTTTGAACCCACCCAGCAGCCCTCAACGGAAAGATGTAGCAATCTGTTCCTGAAAAGATTACAGCCTAGAAAACCATATGGAGAAGTTCTAATCTGTCATATGGGGTTGCTATGAACTGGAATCCACTTGATGGCACCCAACTACATGTTACATTTAAAGACCCAGGAGCTGAATGGCCCAAACACTAAAACCTGTTTCTAATCTCTGTTGTTGTTCTTGTTCGGTACCATCAAGTTGGTTGCAATTTATAGAGACCCTATATACAACAGAATGAAACACTACCCGTTCCTGTGCCATCCTCACAATCATTGCTATGTTTGAGCCCATTGTTGCAGCCACTGTGTCAATCCATCTCATTAAGGGTTTTCCTCTTTTTTGCTGACCCTCTATTTTACCAAGCAGGATGTCCATCTCCAGGTACTGGTCCCTCATGATCACATGTGCAAAGCATGTAAGACGAAGTCTCACCATCCTTGCTTCTAAGGAGCATTCTGGCTGTACTTCTTCCAAGACAGATTTGTTCATTCTTCTGGCAGTTGATGGTATATTCAGTATTCTTTGCCAACACTAATTCAGATGCATCAATTCTTCTTCAGTCTTCCTTATTTACTGTCCAGCTTTTGCATGCATATGAGGCAACTGAAAATATCATGGCTTGGGTCAGGTGCACCATACTCCTCAAAGTGGCTAGGTCCCAATAACAGCACAAATCACATCAGATTGAAAATATTTGCTTATATTCATCTTCCTCAGTAGATAAGGATGGTGTCTTATCTGTCTTTGTGCCTCCTCCAACTTGCACAGCACTGGGTCCTAGTAATTGTAAACCGAAACCCAAACCACTTGTCATCGAGTTGATTCTGACTCGTGGCCACCCCATGTGTGCACAGTAGAACTGCACTCCATAGGGTTTTCAAGGCTGTGACCTTTCAGAAGCAGACTGACGGGCCTTTTCTTCCAAGGTGCCTTGAGTGGGTTTGAACCACCAACACCAACCTTTCAGTTAGTACTTTGCACCACAATGACCTAGTTAATGTTGATTTGAGTGAACAGAGACATGGAACAACTATGAATTCCACATACAGTCTTTTGCAGAGATAAAAGCTACATCAGTCTGACCCTACCGTAAATCAGAAGCTTCCTACATTTATATGAACCCGAAAGGAACTGGAATGTGAACATTGATTCATAGTGTTCTGTTAAACACCACCCTTGGTGATTAAGACTAGGTAAAGATCGATACAAAAGTCTGACAATAAACACACACCGTGGCAGTTTCCATGTTGTTGCTGGTGACCATAAACCAAAAAAAAAAGAAAAGCCAAACCCATTGCTATCAAGTCGATTCCAACTCATAGTTGACCATATAAGACAGAGTAGAACTGCCGCATAGGGTTTCCAAGGAGTGGCTAGTGGATTCGACCTGCCAACATTTTGGTTAGCAGCCTGAACTCTTAACTACCGCACCACCAGGGCTGACAGGAGTCCAAGGAAGACACTATAGTGTTTACATCCTGAAGGTTCAGAAAGCAGCTAGTTGTAATCTCTCTTCAATATACTTGCTTAGTTCTTCCCTTT